AATAGCTACTACAGCTGGGGACGGGCCATGCTGAAGCCAGGAGTTCAGACCTCCATCCAGGTCTCCAACGTGAGTGAGCCATCTTCCTGCTGCTTTCCCAGGCACATCTGCAGGGGGCTGGGTTGTGAAGTGGAGCAGCCATGACTTGAAGGCAGGGGCTTATTAACACAAAGCTGGCCTCAATGCAAATATGAATCAAGAAAGCAGCAGGGCCAGCATCGAGTCACAGGGGTTAAGCTGCCACTTGGGGCGCTCACATCGACAGTGAGGAAACAGAGGGTGACTCAAGTACTTGGGCCCCTGGGAGACAGGGATGGAGTTACTGGCTCCTGCTTCCAGCCTGGCCAAATCCTGACTGTTGCAGCCTTCTTGCGAGTGAATCTACAGATGAAAGATCTTTCTCTCTGTCTCTCCTTCTGTCTCTGTGGGTCTGCCTTTCAAATAAATATTTTTAAAAATCCTAAAAGTAGCGCCAGCGCTGTGGCATAACAGGCTAAGCCTCTGCCTGTGGCGCCAGCATCCTATATGGGCTCTGGTTTGTGTCCCAGCTGCTCCTCTTCCGATCTGGCTCCCTGGTGATGGCCTGGGAAAGCAGTGGAAGACAGCTCAAGCGCGTGGGTCCCTGCACCCACGTGAGAGACCTGGATGAATCTCTGCTCCGGCTGTTGCAGCTACTTGGGGTGTGAGCCAGCGGATGGAAGATCTTTCTCTCTGTCTCTCCCTGCCTCTGCCTGTAACTCTACCTCTCAAATACATAAATCTTTAAAAAATCCTAACTGTGTATGTACCAAATAAGAGCTGTACAACATGTAAACCAAATTGAGAGGTGTGAAGGAAAAAATGACAAAGCCACAATTACCAGCTGGAGCCTTCGACCCCACCTTTAAACAATGGTAGAACAGCTGGACAAAAAACTGGCAAGGACATTGCTGTAAGGGGAACATGAGCTGGCTTCCCAATTCACACGCATAAACTCCACGGCCCGACATTACTGGTGCAGACAGAGAGTGTGGGAACTTGTTCCAATCGCCAAGTCTGAAGGGAGGGCCTGTGGGAGGTGACTGGACGGAATCAGTTTGCTAGGGCAGAGCCCATGAACAGCTCATGGCGGCTTTAGGAGGCCAGACCACACCAGCTGCCGCGTTACCCCCGTTCCTCTCTGCGCCCTGGCTGTCATGTGACCCTTCCTCTGCACACAGTCCATAGCTCACCACCCTCAGACAGCAGACCAGAGGGTGCCCGAGCTCGGAGTGCGAACCTTGAAATCCATGAGCAAAAGGAAACCTTTCCTTCGTAAATCAGTTTCTCTCCGGTATTACGGTCCTGAAAAGCTCACTCTAATCGACAAAAACAAGTACAAACTATCACACCACACCCAATTTGAAACAGATAACTTAATCTTTATTAACTACAAAAGAAATTTAATTTGTAATTGCAAACTTGCTGAAAAAGCTATTTCCAGGCCCAGATGGTTCCATTGGAGAATTCTACCAAATGTTAAAAATGAATTAGTTCCAGTTCCACACAGAATCTTGCAGAAAACACAGGAAGAGAGGACATTTATCAATTCATTTTATGAAGTTATTATTTTCCTAGTGTCAAACCCATATAGACAATTAAAAGCAACACACTTCAGACTAACATCATTCATGAGTACAGATGCAAAATCCTTACCCCAACACCAGTCACATCAGCACACTCTGGCAATACAAAACATGCAAAGGCAACAGACAACACGGCTGTGGTGGATCGGATAGGCTAAGTGTGTCCCCCAGGGTCCCCAGGCAGTGTGCATGAGACGCTGCGACCAGATTAGCAAGAAACAATCCTGATAAGGAATAAAACACAAGATCAGTCTACCTGACTTCAAGACCCACTGGGTGGCACTGGTGATGAGACAGATCAACAGAACAGAGGACGCAGAAACAGTCACACACCTGATTTTTTTAAGATTTACTGATTTACCTGGAAGGCAAAGTTAAGAGAGAGACAGAGACAACTTCCATCAGCTGCTCCACTCCCCAAATGGCCACAGCTGGGAACTCCACCTGGGCCTCTCACATGGGCGGCAGGGGCCCAACACCTGAGTCATCTTCCGCTGCTTTCCCAGGTGCATCAGCAGGGAGCTGGCTCAGAAGTGGAGCAGCTGGGACTTGAACCGAGCTCCCATCCGGACGTCGCATGTGGCATCTCAACCTGCTATACCAGCCCCACACCTGATTTTTGACGAAAGTGCAAAAGCCACTTTGTGGAGAAAGGATGTTTTCTAACAAATGGTCCTGGTTAAAGATCCACAAGCAGAAAAACCAAAGGCCAAAAACTTTACAATATACATAAATCACCTCAAAATTAATCAATTTAAATGTAAAGCACAAGCATAAAACTTCCAGAAAAGTACACAGAATAAAACCTTCAGGAACTAGGGCTCAACAAAAAAATTTCTTACATCTGACAGCAAAAGCGCAATCTAATCAAAAGCAAAACTGATAAACCAGACTTCATCAAAGTGAAGGACCATCAAATGGGGACCCACATTGCCACCTGCAATACCAGCATCCTGTATGAGCACCAGGTTCAAATCCCAACTGCTCCACTTCCAATAAAGCTCCGGGCTGATGTGCTGTGGGAGCCCCGGGTGGAATTCCAGGCTCCTAGCTTTGGCCTGGCCCTGCCCCAGGCACTGTGGCCATCTGTGGAGTAACCTGCAGATGGAAGATCTCTCTCCCTCTGTGAACTCTGCCTTTCAAATAAAACAATTAAATCTTAAAAATAATTTTTTTCTTTACTAAAACCCTTGAGGCTGGCATTGCTCATAGCAGGTAAAAGCTGCTGCCCGTGACACCGGCATCCCCTCTGGGCGCTGGCTCAGGACCGGGCTGCTCCACTTTCGACCCAGCTCCCTGCTAATGTGCCTGGGAAAGCAGCAGCAGACGGCCCAAGTGCTGGGTCCCTGCACACATGTGGGAGACCCAGAAGAAGTTCCTGACTCCTGGCTTCAGCTTGGCTCAGTACCGGCTGTAGCAGTCATTTGGGGAGTGAACCAGAGGATGAAGATCGATGGATCGATCTCTCTCCTCCTCTCTTTGTGTAACTCTTTCAAATAAATAAACCTCAAAAAAAAAAAAAAAAAACCCTCAAACTTTTGCTCCGCAAAAGATGCAGTAAAGATGAAAAGACAAGCTCAGACTAGGAAAAAATATGTACAAAATACACATCCAAAAAGACCTGCTATCTAGAATATACAAAGAATTTCCAAACCTCAACGCTTATCCAATTACAAAACAGGCAAACATGGGGCGAGCGCTGCAGTGGGTAGAGCCGCAGCTTGAAGCACAGGCATCCCATATGCGTGCCAGCTGGGAGTCCCGCTGCTCTACTTCTTTTTTTATTTTTTTAAGATTTATTTTATTTATTTGAGCTACAGAGAGATGGAGAGAGGTCTTCCATCCACTGGTTCACTCCCCAGATACCCCAACGGCCAGAGCTGAGCTGATCTAAAGCTAGGAGCCAGGAACAACTTCTAGACCTCCCAAACAGGTGCAGGGCCCAAGGACTTGGACATGTACTGCTTTCCCAGGCCATAGCAGAGAGCTGGATCAGAAGAGGAGCAGCCGGGACTAGAACCGGCGCCCACATGGGATGACAGCACTGCAGGCTGGGGCTTTACCCCGCCACGCCACACGGTGGTTCCCGCTCTCCTTCTGATCCAGCTCCCTGCTAACGGCCTGGGAAAGCATCGTCAGATGGCCCAAGTGTTAGGCTCCTACACTAATGTGGGAGAGCCAGAAGCAGCTCCTGGCTCCTGGCTGTGGCCACTTGGGGAGTGAACCAGCAGATGGAAAATTCGCTCTTTCTCGCTGTAACTCTGCCTTCCAGATAAATACAAAAATCTTAGAGAAAAAAAAAAAAAAAAAAAAAAAGGAAAGGCTATGAGTAAACATTTCACCCAAGAGAACACAAGGATGTCAAACAAGCACATGGAGATGGTCAACGTCACTCGCCAAATTACAGACATAATGAGACATCACTACACATCTAATAGCACGGCCGACGTAGAAAATAGCGTCAGCAGCTGTGGAAAAGCCGGATCACACACACTGCTGCGGGGAGTGCGCGGCCAGTCCACAGAGGAAGCTGGCCATTTCTGCTAGATTCAACACGCAGCTGCTCTGACTTGTGGATCGCACTTCCGGTAACTTATTTCAGAGAAACGTCAACTTTGTTCACATGGAAACCTGCACAAGAGGCAGTGGGCATTTAGCCCCGGGGCGAGACAGCTGCCGCCCATACCAGAACGCCTCGGGCACTCCCAGCTTCCTTCTGACGCACACCTGCGAGGCAGCGGCCACAGGTCCAGCAGACTCCGGCCACTCACGTGGGAAACCCGGGCTGTGCCTGACCTATCACCAGCCCTTGGGAAGTAAACCGGCATTACGGGAGCGCCAGCCCAGATGGCCACGGCCCTCCGCGGAGGAAGAGAGAAGCCCACCGCAGAGCCTGGAGGGAAACAGAGACGCCAGCGGCCAGCTGGGTGAACTCGCCGGCACGTCCGGCTGCTGCATTCCCAACACGAATCGAGGCCACCGCAGGGCGCTAAGCGGTGGGTGTGGTACGAGAAGGCACCGGGTCCGCGGCGGCAGAAACGCCCCGCATCCCGGCCTGGACCAACGGCAGTCTTCGGCTGTGGTCTCCAGAGCGTATCAAGCAGAGAAGTGGGTACAGGACTCCGCGCCCTGTACCCGCACGGAACGGACCAACGGAGTAGGTTCCCTGACTTACATAAGCCTCAACATTTTAAAACCAAGTGCTCCACGCACGCAGAGCCCCTGGGAACCGCGCGTCAGGACCAGGCTCCCCAGCCCGCGCCGCGGCACCCCCAGCTCCTCGCTGCGCTCTGCCAACACTCCGGAGTCCTCCGTGTCTCGCCCGCGAGCGGCCTCACTCGGGACGCGGAATGGCGCACTTCACGTGGGCGCGTCCTACGGCGCGCGAGGCGCTACCTCAAGAACGCGGCGCCGAAACGTGCCAGGGCCCCCCGAAGCCCGAGGACGCGGCTCCGTCCGCCCCGCGCGGCGCTCAAGGACGCGCGCGCCCTCCGCGGGCTCGCCACAGGCACGCGGGGCGCACGGGACGCCCTCTCCGCCGCCCGACACGTGACGCCGCGCGACCTTGGGGGTCACCCTGGCCGCCGCTCCCCACTTCCGCCGCCGGGGCCCACCCAGGCCCCCACGGGCCTCGCCGCGCCATTGGCTGCCGCGCCCGCTCGTCAGGCGCGCCCCTCCCACCGCCCCGTCCGCCCGCTCTGTCCTACTCCACTCCGGGTCACCAAGCTGCCCGCGGCTCCAAGGGCGCAGGGCCCCACCCTCGCCGTGACCAGCGACTCGAGCCAGCGGGCGCCGCAGCCCCCGGCCCCTGCCCCCAGCCCGCAGCGGCGCGCGGTTACCTGTCTCCCGCGCGGCTCCACCCGACTGAGGCGCCGACACCCCGCTCCGGGGCACCAAACTCTCGGCCCCGCCCCGGCGCGTGGCGTCAGCACGTAGCCCCGCCCCGAGCAGGAGCCCCGCCCCTTCCACGAGTTGGCGTCGTGGCGTCACAGAAGCGCGCCGGACTCTGAGGGCGGCGGGGTAGGGGCGGCGGCTGCTGCAACCCAGGCGTGTGCTCGGGGCCGCAGGACGGGCGGGTGGGCTTCAGCTGCCGCTTCCTCGGCCTCAGTGCCCGGTGCCTGACGGCCGTGTTTCCTAAGCCTCTTGGGAATTCGAGAGCGGTGAAATGGGTCGAATTTGAGCAACAAAGTCCGCGCCAGTGGGCGCCCATTTTGCGCCAGGCTCTGTGACTGGCGCTTCGGCGGCGCTATTCTGAGTGTTCCACCCTCAGTGTGCAGAAGGCAGGGGCCCGCCCGGCCTGTCCTGGCCCCAGAGCCCTCCACCGAGATAGAACGCTGATGGGCCCCTTTCAGAGTGTTAGGATTTGGGGAAAAGTCTTTCCAAACTGATGACGTCCGGTGAGTTACGGTTCGTCAAGAACTGAGGCAAGCCCTTGGGACGGCTTTGACGGAGCGAATCTCCGGCCTCTGGTCGCAGAGCAGCCCCTCCGTGAGGACTGAGTTGAGGGAGTGCTGGTCCCGCCGACCCCACCGGCGTCCCGGGTCGCCAGACGCAGGAGCTCCTTTGTGTCCTCTTTTTTTCTTAATTTTTTAAATTTATTTATTTTTTGACAGGCAGAGTGGACAGTGAGAGAGAGAGAAAGGTCTTCCTTTGCCGTTGGTTCACCCTCCAATGGCCGCCGCGGCCAGCGCACCGCGCTGATCTGAAGGCAGGAGCCAGGTGCTTCTGGTCTCCCATGGGGTGCAGGGCCCAAGCACTTGGGCCATCCTCCACTGCACTCCCGGGCCACAGCAGAGAGCTGGTCTGGAAGAGGGGCAACTGGGACTAGAACCTGGTGTGCCGGTGCCGCAGACGGAGGATTAGCCCAGTGAGCCCCGGCACTGGCCTCCTTTGTGCCCTCTACGGACAACATCTGGGTCCCAGGTCCCACATGGAGGCCTCAAACGGAGGGAGCCCCCCGAAGATCAGGTGCCTGGCCTGTTGCTGACCCAGCAAAGGAGGGCCACCTGCGTGCGCACCTGCCTCTAACCCCCAGCCGTAGCCTCAGAATTCCTTATCGTTAATCCCCCCAGGAACCCTGGAAGCCAATTTATTAAGGTAGGTAGGTGCATAGTAGCGTATGCGAAAGAGGGGCAGCAGAAAATGAGTGTTTTAAAATACATATTTATTTATTTGAAAGGCAGAGAGAGAGAAAGGCCTTTCATTCGCTGGTTCAGTCCCCAAGTGGCCACAACACTGGGCTGATCCGGAGCCAGGAGCTTCTCCCAGGTCTCCCTCGTGGGTGCAGGGGCCCAAGGACTTGGGCCATCCTCCACTGCTTTCCCAGGCCACAGCAGAGAGCTGGATCAGAAGTAGAGCAGCCGGGACCTGAACAGGCGCCCGTATGGGATGCCAGCACCACAGGCCGCGGCTTTACCTGCTAAGCCACAGCACCACCCCTGAAAATGAACGTTTTTAAAGAAAGCCTTATATGCAGTGGAACAAGGAAACACCCTGCAAACAGCCCAGCAGTTGTACCATCTCCCAGGGGCCAGCGCAGGGGAACTCCCCTGCCCTTCACCAAGGGGACCGTTAGGTCCACAACACTGTGCTGATGAGGTCCTAGGAGGATTTGTGGGAACTCCACACCCAGAAAACTCCCCACCCACAATTTCCCACAAGAGGGAGGCAGGGAGAAGGGGGGAACCCGTACTCCTGCCCACAGGACTGCAGTCTGAACACAGGGCTCAGCCCTTTGCTGGGCCGCCCTCCCGCGCTGTCACGTACTCGTCACCAAGTGAGCGCTCGGTTCTTCCCTGCGCACCTGCCGGCTCCTCTCAACGCTCCTCTCAGCTTTGCTGCCTTGCTGACCACTGCTGTGTCTCGCATCTGCATTCTCTTCTGGGCAAAGACCAGGCCCTCCAAGCCGGGGAAAGCCTCATTTCATGCTTGTATCTTTCACAACGCTTTGTTTTCTGTGGGGAGCAACTGAGACTAGACTAAGTTACTGGAATTAAGACTTATTCTATGCATCTGCTCTCCCACAATATGGCGCTGGGAGAAAGAGACCAAACAACCTCTACGCAGCTGCCTCATCAGTTTGACAAGCTGCAGGAGCTGATCCTGCTCCTGATTGGAGGAGAGCAGCGTGCTCGGCGTGTGGGTAGCAGAGTTGGGATTGGTGGAAGAGGACTATAAAGGAGGAGACAACATGCACCAGGAACATCCGGATAACATCTGAGCAGCCCCCGAGAGAGCCGGCCGGCGGTGTGCCGCTCCCCCGCGGAAGTGGGGAAAGTGGCAGGGGGAGCTGCCCCTCCACGGAGGTGGAGGGGTCGGCAGCCAACCCGGGAAGGACCAGCAGCAAACCCGGGAAGGGCTGAGCAGACAAAAGAACAGCGCAGGGTCTAGTGTTGTTCCTCCACGAATGGGGGAGCGACAGTTTTCCTCTCCTTTTTCAAGAGGACAGTCATGAGGCTGATCAGTGTGAGACATTGATGGGCAGTAATAGAAAGTCAGCCCACCGGCACCGCAGCTCACTAGGCTAATCCTCCACCTTGCGGCGCCAGCACACTGGGTTCTAGTCCCGGTCGGGGCGCCAGATTCTGTTCCGGTTGCCCCTCTTCCAGGCCAGCTCTCTGCTGTGGCCCGGGAGTGCAGTGGAGGATGGAACAAGTGCTTGGGCCCTGCACCCATGGGAGACCAGGAGAAGCACCTGGCTCCCGGCTTCGGATCAGCGCTGTGCGCCGGCCGCAGCGGCCATTGGAGGGTGAACCAACCGCAAAGGAAGACCTTTCTCTGTCTCTCTCACTGTCCACTCTGCCTGTCAAAAAAATTAAAAGAAAAAAAAAAGCCCGGTGCTGTGGCTAATCCTCCTGCGGCACCGGTATCCCATATGGGCATGAGTTCTAGTCCCAGTTGCTCCTCTTCCAGTCCAGCTCTCTGCTGTGGCCCGGGAAGGCATGGAGGATGACCCAAGTGGGAGACCAGAAGAAACACCTGGCTCCTGGCTTCGGATCAGCGTAGCTCCCGCCGTTGTGGCCATTTGGGGAGTGAATCAATGGAAGGAAGACCTCTCTCGCTGTCTGTAACTCTACCTCTCAAATAAATAAATAAAATCTTAAACAAAAAAAGTCAGCCCTTCACTATGCTGACCTCATGATTTTTGAGTTTGTCTTTGCTATTTATGGCAAATGATGCTGCTTTTCCTATTTATGATAATAAATAGGTGAGGTAAGTGGGGGCTTTTTCTTTTTTTTGTAGCAAATGGTTCCATTTAGAAAACCTGTTAGTGATGTAGAATGTGGCATCCAATTGAGTGACATTAAAAATTTCGGGCTATCTTAATGTTCTCCATGATGTGTTATTCCAAAAGGATGATGAAATATTTGAAGACAAAAACTTTGAAAAACAGAAGCTTTTAACAGTTGTCTTTGTTGCTCCTAAGGAGTTTATGTTGGTGGTTTGGGAGGGAGGGCCTACGCTCAGAAGGTGCTGGACCTCTGGTAGAGCCGGCTCTCCTGACATGGCAGGCCCATGGGACCGGATGGTGGTGTGGAGGAGCTGTATGGCCGTGGGGTTTGCTGGCCTGTCTCCCCCACCTTTGTGATCTGGATGAGCAGGTGGGTTCTGGGTACAGGTTATGGGGGCAGCTACAGGAGACAGCACAGACGCCCAAGTTCTCCAGCACCTTCCCACAGGAAGTTCCTGATCTTGGCTTTGGCCTGGCCCAGCCCCGGCCATTACAGCCATCCAGGGAGTGAACCAGCAGAGGGAAGACCTCCCTTTCTCTGTCTGCCTCTCTCTCTAACTCTGACTTTCAAAATAAATAAGCAGATCTTTAAAGAAATATATACTAGAGGTGCACTGTGTGGCACAGGGTAGGGGGCTGATGTGTGGTTTGTGGCAGTGGGTAGGCGGTGCCCCACCTCTCGTCTGTCCCTCATGGGCCCTAGGTGTTCATGGCCTTGTGCTCACCGCTGTTATGGAAACAGGGTGTGGCTGTCTGCCCACATGTGTCAGAAGCCATGGTGGTTTGCGGACAGTCTAATTGCAAGGCAGGCAAGTAGGAGGTCAGAAGTAATGCTCCAATCTGACTCCCTGAACAGGAGCCTTGGAAGTGGTTTTATGGGGTAGGTAGGAGGGAGCTGGTATGCAGAAGTGCTGGCGCACCAGTTCTCCTTGGAGGGGCTTGGAATCAGGCATGCATAGCGCTGTAGTGCTCTGAGTATGTCTTCTTGGAAATCAAGAACTTAAATAAATCCCATGGTAAAATAATAAATAGGGGAACTTGCAGGAAAAGAATGGGGGGAACATAAGAGGTTTTTTGAGTTTGGCAAGTCAGGGGGAAACCCAGGATCGGGGCAGTCCAACGTGGTATTCTGCCACCACAGGCCAAACGTCTTTAATGTTGCTCATGCTGTAGAAGTTGTTTTTATTTAAGTTGTTTTTTAAAAAAAATTTTTAAAGATTTATTTATTTGAAAGAGTTACAAAGAGAGAGAGAGATCTTCCATCTGCTTGTTCACTCCCCAAATGGCCACAACGGCTGGAGCTGAGTCGATCTGAACAAAGTCAGGAGCCAGGAGCTTCTTCCGGGTCTCCCACATGGGTGTAGGGGCCCAAGGACTTGGGCCATCCTCTGCTGCTTTCACAGGCGCATCAGCAGGGAGCTGGGTCAAAAGTGGGGCAGCCAGGACTCGAACTGGTGCCCACGTGGAATGCCAACACTGCAAGCCAGGGCATTAACCCGCTGTGCCACAGTGGCAGCCCCTGTTATTGTTATTTTTGGCTAGTGTGTATTTATGGGCACAGGGCAATGTTTCCATACATGTACACAGTATGAACTAGTTCTTCCCACAGTGGGCAGCTCATTATCGTGAGCTGGCATCACTGCACTACAATGTGCCTCTTCATCTGTGTGTTGCCGCCCCTTACCCCGTGTCCCTCCTGCCCATCACAGTTTTTGACATTGCTCATGTCGCATCTAAGAATCCACTGCCAAATCCAAAGTCAGGAAAATTTACTCCCACGGTTCTTCTAAACGTGTTATGGTTTTAACTCACTGCTTTGTCGATGGCTTTTAGTTAGCTGTACATGAGGTGCAGTAGGAGTCCAGCTTCATTCTTTTGCTTGTGGAAGTCCAGCTGTTGTCAACAGCATTTGTGGGAAAGGCAGCCTTTCCCCATTGAATGGACTTGGCACCTGCGTTAGCTCTCCGTTGCTCTGATGAGAGTGCCTGAGAGGGGCTTCCTGGGCAGGAAAAGGCTGTTTCATCCTGTAGTTCGGAGGTTCACAGGTCGGCTGCTTCCGGTTTCTAGGGAGAGCTGGCATTGGTGGAGCAGGTGTGGAAGAACCGTCACACGGGGAGCCGGGAAGCAGAGACACAGGATGCGTGCCCGGCTTGCATAACCAACCCTTTCACAAGAACAGCGTTTGGAGAGCAAGTCCCACCTCCCACCAGACCCACCGCCGAGAGGCCACATTAGATCTAGTTTCCATCCTTCGTCTGTCACCACTAACATAAGGTTATGGAGTTTAAATGGCCACATGAGTTTTAGGAATCAAGTCCTGTTGAATCTAGTAGCGTTTCTGAAAATCAGCTCCCCATAGAGGTTGAGTTTATTTCTGCACTCAGTTCTATCACACTGGTCTGTATGTTTCTCCTTGTGCCAGTACCATGCTGTTTTGATTACTGTAGCTTTGTGGTAAGTTCTGAAATTGGCAAGTGTCAAATCTCCAACTCTGTTGTTCCCTTTCATGATTGTTTTGGCTCTTCAGTGTCCTTGCGATTCCATATGGATTTGAAGATTGGCTTTTCCAAATGGAAAAGGCGAAAAAGTTTGTTGGAATTTTGATAGGGATTGTGTTGAATCTGTGGACCACTTTTTGTATTATTGACATTGTACTGTAGTAAGCCTTCTAGTCCATGAACACAGGATCTCTTTCTATTTATTTTAGGCCATCATTAATTTCTTTCAGCAACGTCTTACAGTTTTCACTATAAAAGGCGTCACCTCCTTGAGTAATTTTATTCCTAGATATTTTATTCTTTCCAATGAATTTGTAAATGGAATTGCACTCCTAATTTCCCTTTGAAATTGTTCATTACTGGTGTATTGATTTTGGGGTGTTGATGTTATCCTACAACTTTTCTGAATTTGATTATGAGCTCTCGTCACTTTCTTCTGGATTCTTTGGAATTTTCTGTACAGTCGCATATGTTCTCTGTTTTTAATAGTCAGAGCACAGGCTGGCGCTGTGGCTCACTGGGCTAATCCTCTGCCTGCGGCACCGGCACACTGTGTTCTAGTCCCAGTTGGGGTGCCGGTTCTGTCTCGGTTGCTCCTCTTCCAGTCCAGCTCTCTGCTGTGGTCCGGGAGTGCGGTAGAGGATGGCCCAAGTGCTTGGGCCCTGCACCCGCATGGGAGACCAGGAGGAAGCACCTTGCTCCTGGCTTCAGATCGGCGCGGTGCCAGCCGTAGCAGCCATTTGGGGGTGAACCAATGGAAAAGGAAGACCTTTCTCTCTGTCTCTCTCCCTCTGTCTAACTCTGTCTGTCAAAAAAAAAAAAAGAAAAAAAGAAAAAAAAAAGAAAAAGAAAAGAAAAGAAAAAGAAAAAGAAAAAAAAAGAAAAGAAAAAAATAGTTGGAGCACAAAAGATTGACAGAGATATTTCTTTATTTTTTAATGTTTATTTATTTGTTTGAAAAGCAGAGTTAAAGAGAGAGAGGGAGAGACAGAGAGAGATCTTCCATCTGCTGGTTCACTCCCCACGTGGTCACAATGGCTGGAGCTGGGCCAGGCTAAAGCTGGGAGCCAGAAGCTTCTTCCGGTCTCCCACATTGGTACATGGACCCAAACACTTGGGCCATCTCCACTGCCTTCCCAGGGACGTTAGCAGGGAGCTGGATGAGAAGTGGAGCAGCTGGGAATCGAACTGGTGCCCATATGGGATGCTAGTGTCGCGGGCAGAAGCTTTACCTGCTGTGCTACAATGCTGGCCCCAAGGACTATGTTGTCTGTGGGCAGAAATAATAGTTTTACTTCTTCCTTCACTGTATGGGCACCGGCTGTTTCTATTTCTTACACAAGTGCTCTGACTAGAACATCCAGGACAGTGGTGAGCAGAGCAGTAAAACTGGGCGTGCCTGTCTTGTTCCTGGCTGTCGGGACTCAGTCTTCCACCAGAGTACGACATTTGCTGTGGAATTTTCATAGATGTTCTTCAACATGTTAAGGGAGTTCCTGTCTATTCCTATTTGAGCACTGATGTTTTTAATATGAAAGGGAGTTGGATCTTGTCAAATTCCTTTTTGCTCATCAGTTGCGATAGTCCTGTGTTTCACCCCTTCCTTCTGTTAATGTGATGCGTTATATTAATTTTATGTTGACCTTACAGGACATTTTTCTGGATGGCCTTGAACTGACCCAATT